CCAAACAATTAGATTATTGCATTGAAGAGGAACATAGTCTGAGCCTACACAGACGGATCACTGAGGAATTTCTGAACCATCTTGATGATGAATTCATGCTGATAAGGCTTTCAAATGTTTTGTGCTACCAAATAGATGTGAGAGATTTTACAGATGGAAATATGAACTTAAATTATACGATTGTGAATGTGTCAAGGGGGATAGATAGAGACTAACGACTCAAGTTTTTTTTGTTGTTTTTTTTTTTTTTTTTTTTACAGTGAGGATCTAAAAATGAGTCTTGCAGTTTGAGCAAGCAACATTCATTTAAACCACGAGGAAAAATAAAATATAAAGTCCAATGTTAAAAAAAAAAAGAAATTTGGTTATTTTAGATTGCAAAGCCAACTGCCTCAAAAACTTGAAGGCTGCTAAATTTAAAGGGAACTTTTCTACCAACCCACCTATACCTTTTAAATGTCCAGCCTCCAATAGAATGCAGATAGCCAAGCTAATGATCAAAGCACAGATAACCCTAGGTCATTTCTCTTCAATGGACATTAAATGCAACGTTTCTGTCCACAAAAATGGAAAAGCAGGGTTTTTTAATCAAGTTATTTTAGTTGATGGAGTAAGACAATTCAAAGAGAATCAAAGTCTCAAGAAATTATGAAGATACTGAGCTAACAAGGTATCCTCAACTGGAAATTCTAGAACTTATACTTTAGTTGACAAGATAGTATTACCAGTGAGAATAGTCTGGTGGGGGTGGGTACAGTTTGGAACTCTCAGCTGCTTTGTACTGTGAGGTCCAAGGGCAGCCTACCCCATCAAGGGCCACTTTGGCATGAACATTTTAAATTAAAAGCAATCAAAACCCAGAAAATTTAGGGAAAGCACTTTACGTCTCCGTCAACTGCCTGCCTGTATCAGGGAAAACGCTACAGAAAGAGATTCTTCTTTATGGAAGAAAAACTTATCTGCATATTAGGAAAAACTTTGTTTTCCAAACATCTCCTCTCATTTTCCCACTAATGGTCTTTCTCCTCTTTGGATCCTCGGACTCCACTCCTCTCCTTAGCTCAAAGAAGCCACATGATGCTGGTCTCTGGAATATCCATGTCTTTGTGGACTTCCCTTTCATATGCTCTTAAATTTGTTTTTCTTCTCTTCATCTCTCTCCTGTCAATTAGATTCTTAATCCAGCTATAAGGAACTTAACAGAGATAGTTCATCCTCCCCAACAGTACTATAGAGTTCATTTGGGGTACAAGTGTCTGGTAAAACCAAGGTTGGCAGAAGCAAGTTATCTAAAACAATGATATCCATTGTAAGTAAAGTGGTTCTGGATGAAACTAATTCGGTAAGTAAAAACGCTAGAAGAAGGCATCCAGTACTACTCACCACAGTAGTTGGCATTCAAGTCCTCAGTTAGTATTCGTTTTTCTGAATTACTTTATCCACATGTTCAAGAAGTATTGCTGTGGTCGTGTCCATCCCTAAAGTACATTTTGCTACTACTTTTCGATTTCCAGACTTTAATCGTTTTTTTAATAATTTGCTAAGTTTAATAATCTGAAATTAAAATTTTTGCACATATATCCTATTTTGACAATTTTTTAAGTTTTAGAAAAGTGATCCTAAGAAGGCCTGCTTATCCCATCGATAGAAATTGAAGTTGCTTTTTTTTACTAGATGTACAATTTCATTTATATATTGAAAGGACAATATAAAAAAGGTACCTCACACATATTTTATGACCCTGACATATGATCAGCAAGAGATAGCAATAGCTATTGTTATCTTCCCCTTGGTTTAAGAGAATCAAGTAAAACATGTAAACATAAAATGATCACTGATACTTTATTTTGGTGTACAAGCAACAACATGCATCACTGGCAAAAGGCAAGAAATAAACCCCACTATGGGGAAAGTTGAGACTCCCACTTGGGTTTACCAGTACATATACTGTAATCTTATAAACTAATTTTTACTTCCTAGTAAAGTAGTTTTATTAATACAGTAATTTTTTATATTTTAATTTCAAGAGAATCAAAGTCTTTTTTATCAATTGGATCCATTAGAACTAATGAGATCAAAAATAATTAAGGTTTCTGTGTAAAAGCTTCTTATGACAAAAATGTTTATTATTTAGGTATAAGAAGCCAAACATTTAAAGCTAACATTCCAGGGTGCCTGCGAGGCTCAGTTTGGTTAAGAGTCTGACTTCGGCTCTGGTTATAATCTCACGGTTCAAGGGTTTAAACCCTGTGTTAGGCTCTTTGCTGAATGCTTGCTCAGAGCCTGGAGTCTGCTTCAGATTCTATATCTCCTTCTCTCTCTGCCCCTCCCTGCTCATGCTCTGTCTTATTCTAACTCTCAAAAAATAAATAAATGTAAAAAGTAAAAATAAAAAAAATAAAACTGACATTCCAACAAAGCTATGTCCTCCTAAAAAATATTTGTAGTTTTATGGTTACAAAGCAGTCATTCCAACTATTATGACAAAAATTGTATTATTATTGCAAAGTTCTTTACCAGGTAAGTAAATATACTTAGACAAAAATTCAACTCAATAGTTTCATCCAGAGTAAGTACTGATTTAACCTAAATTTTATAGTAATTCATATAGACACTAATTTTTTTTCCTATCTAAACAGTGACTGTCTAATAACTAAATCAGAATTCCTTATTGAATTACATAGACCTTCTCATCAAGTGCTACTTAGATCAATGCCTTCTCATTTCTGCAATAGTTTTATTAAAGGCTGAATGAAAGATATTTGTGCTTAGGTAGTGGGCCAGAATTTGAGATAATATATCCCAGATATTTATGGATGGTTTTACAAACTGTAGGAACCAAGGACAGGCCACATGGCATGTAGATTATCTTGAGTTGAAAACAATTAAGACCCAAAAGACTCAATAAGCAACTTTTATCTTCCCCAAAATTGCCTAAAAGAATTTAGACAGAGGATCTGCTACAGGCACAATATACCACCATAGATAATTACATCATAATATGAACAAGGGGTGGTAGACAAGGAGAAATTTGGCAAAATCTGTTTGTTAAAATTCTTCTCTGTATTCCATTGTTTCTGCATAACACAGCAAACACTTTATTTACCAAAAGTTTACTCTTCCCTGTGACATTTCTTCCTTTTCTTTGAAGTTCCAGACCCCTCCTCCCTTCTTACTTCAGAAGGACATATTTACCTCATTTTGTCAGTCTTTCTAATTTTGCATCTATATAAAGTACCCATACAATGAAATTAAATTTGGTTTCCTCTTATTCATCTGTCTCATGTAAATGTAATTCTTAGCTAAACTACAATCACACTGGACAGAGAGCTAAGATTCTCCCTTCCTGACAAAACATAAATTCAACCTTGGATTCTCCCCTAAAGCCACATAACATACTCATCTGATATAGAAAAAAAAAATAAAGTACTATCTCTTAGCACCACAAAATCCTCTCTAGAGGAATCTTAAAGACCTGTATCTCCTGGTTCTGATCAAACAACAAAGAAAACACAGTTGAAGGCCATGGAGATTTAAAACATGAATATCCCTCCAAGTATAGCAAAGAGAAAGCAGAGACCAAAGTGGACTTATAGGGACAAAGTGTCTTAAGTCAATGTTATAGAAAATGCACAAAAATATGCATATAAAGGGACAGGTACAAATAAAGGGGACTCCTATTTTGGGAAAGCTAATGTGAATCCATTTTGGTGTTGAAGTCAAGCAGACTTCAGACTTCAGGATTTTCATCTCCTCTAAACCTTTGGACTTTGATTTCAGGATAAAGACCTCATTTCTTCTCAACAACAACCCTTCTGTTATTGGAAAATAGAACTATCAGCTCTTCAATAAGCCTTCTGATTTCTGGCCATGTATCTTCAGTTCTTTCCCTCAAGTTCAATAAGAAAGCTAGGCTTTCACTTAATCCTTAACTATTCCAGTCATCTTCCTTTGTGATATGTGAATGTTTTTTTGTTCGCCTGTTTTACTAACACATGTGACACAGCAGGGACTGGACTTGGTTCCCAGCTCTGACCATAAAATCCAGCACTCTTTGGCTGCCTCCATAAGAAAAAATGTTTAAGAAGCTAAAAACTCTATGCTTCTTGAGTAGCATATCTTTCAGGAGTGCAGAAGGAGGATGCTTACTGTAAGAAGAATGCAAGGACTGGTGAAGACCGAGCGAAAGCAGTCTGTGCCAACATGAACCCCAATGCTGCAATTTGACCTCTCCATGATTAGACATTACTCTCACACACTCTCTCTTTTTATTTATATTCAATTTTTAGCTAACATACAGTTTAGTCTTGACTTTACAAGTAGAATGCAGTGACTCATCACTTATATATAACACTCAGTGCTCTTCCCACTAAGTGCCCTCCTTAATGCCCATCCCCATTTCCCCCACACCCATTAACCCTCAGTTTGTTCTCTGGCTCTAAAAAACCAAGAGTATACTTTACACACTGTATGTTAGCCAAATTGACAATAAGTTATATTAAAATAAATAGACTCTTATGGTTTGTTTCCCTCTCTGTTTTTTATTGTATTTTTCTTACTATTCCCCTATGAGCATCTGTTAAGTTTCTCAAATTCCACATGAGTGAAATCATATGATACCGGTCCTTCTCTGACTGACTGACTTTGCTTAACATTAATACCCTCCAGCTCCATCCACATGTTGCACATGTCAAGATTTCATTCTTCTTCATCATGAAGTAGTATTCCATTGTATATATATATATCACATCTTCTTAATCCATTTATCAGTTGATAGATGTTTGGGCTCTTTCCACAATTAAGCTACTGTTGATAGTGCTGCTATAAACATTGGGGTTATGTGCCCCTTCAAATCAGCACTCATGTATCCTTTGGATAAAATCCTACTACCGCTACTGCTGGGTCATAGGGTAATTCTATGTTTCATTTTTTGAGAAACTTCCACACTGTTTTCCAGAGGGACTGCACCAGTTTGAATTCCCACCAACAGTGCAAGAGAGTGCCCATTTCTCCATATCCTTTCCAACATCTACTGTTTCCTGAGTTGTTCATTTTAGCCACTCTAACCAGTGTGAGGTAGTTATCTCAATGTGGATTTGATTTGTATTTCCCTGATGATGAATGATGTTGAGCATTTTTTCATGTGTCCATTTTGCCATCTGGGAATCTTATTTGGAAAAGTTCCTGTTCATGTTTTCTGCCCATTTCTTCACTAGATTGTTTGTTTTTCAGGTGTTGAGTTTGGTAAGTCCTTTATAGATTTTTCATACTAACCCTTTATCTGATATGTCATTTGTAAATATGTTCTCCCACTCTGTCGGTTGTCTTTTAGTGTTGTTGATAGTTTCCTTACCTGTGCAGAAGCTTTTTACCTTGAAGAGGTCCCAATAGTTCATTTTTGCTTTTATTTCCATTGCCTTCAGAGATATAGACAGCACTCTTTTCCCACCTAAGTTTCTTTAAAAAACTATCCCTGACCTCTCTTCAGGTAGTCAGCCTGATGATTCTTTCCTTTGTACTGCCATCTTTGTATTGGAGCATAAGCCCCAATAAAGCCTTGCCTAAAACTCACATTTGACCTCTTTTCAATTTCTATTGCTTGGAGAGCCCAAGGGCCTGGCTCCTCCACACAGGCCTGAATAAACTGAAACACTACAGATCTTGACTGAGTAGTATAGAACACCCTGGTATTACCTTAATTTAGAACAATTTTTTATTACTTTTTTTCAGGTAATACTACATCTTTTCTGATGTCCAAATTGATCTAGTAGATTATACATAAGTCTGAATTAACAGAGTGTACTGATTGCCTTAACTGGGTATATAGTATAGTATTTGTATATTTAAATAGATGGCAAGTTCTTTTAGGACATCTGGACATTACCTATAAGCCATCATGATATTCTTATCTGCCCAACATGAAGTTTTTCAATAGATTACCAAATGATCACTGAGAAACTTAAAGCTCATCTATACACATGCACATAAACACAGCATTATATTAAGATATCGGTTATATCAATAAATACATAAAGCATATAGCTAAGAAATCTTTTATCTTTTTCAATCCATATGTGCATTCTGCTGTTATTCTTTCCAACTTTAATAGGGACAAAAATCAAACACACTCTGGTAATAAACATCTTACTGTCAGCACATAAAGAACCTCTCTCTCTCTCCCTCTCTCTCTCTCTGAAAACACAGAAGTTACCCTTTTGTAAGGGAAATCTACATTTATAAAGCAAATCACCATTTGTAATGGTATCTCCCACTCTGTGCCAGGCAGAGGAAAATTACTAAAGCACAAGAAATCTTATCAATGGAGAAGATATTGATTTAAACCCTAAAAAAACAAACCTTATCCTTGTTTACTGTGCTTTTCTCAATAACATACCATATATGCATACCCCTATCCCAACACAATCTCAATATTTATTTTTCCCTACTGAAGGTGGTATTTAATATGGAAGCTTGGGCCTTCTATAGGAGTGACTCATTCTTCCTGCATATCTCATATATATATATATAATATATATCTATATTATATCTATATATTTTATATGTATGGTATACATGTTAATAAATTTTAGATTAAAAAAAGTACCTCTCTCTCAAAATTTACATGTATTTTTTAAATGCATCTTATCATGTCATTTTTTTTTTTACAAATATGATCCATATGATCCAATTATTTAATTTTTTAAAAGTGAAATGCACAAGATCTAGTATTTTTTTAAGGTCATTCAAGTGACTACTTTGAGTTAAAAAAAAAGTCACAAAGTTTTAAGTAAAAATTATGGATCTGCATTCAGAACCAGGGTTAGATTTTTCCTTTAGTTCTGAGATTTGACTTGCTCTAGATTAGGAAATTAAAGGTAAAATAAAAAACTACCTCTCAAAGTAAAACAACAAACAAAGATATTCTACAAGTTTTACTTGGATTATCTTGTGATTCTAGTGTTGTTAAAAAAAAAACCACAGCCCCAAAATGGTGCCACTCAGGCCAAGTCACCAAACCAGAGTTTAATATCTAACCTAATTACACTTTCAACTTTCCCCAGCAACATCAACCATCAGAAAAGTTATCTGTCACAGGAGTCTCTCCATGTGACCAAAGAAATGAGATAACCTGCATGATAAGAGCCTTTGCCCTTACCCCTTAGACAAAATGAGCTTGCCTTTTTCTTGTCTTTTGTTATTAACTTTTTGCCCCACCTCCTTCCTATAAAAACCTTTCATTTTGTACAGCTCCTGGGAGCTCCCATTTACTTGCTAAACTGGATGCTACACAGTTCATGAGTTACCTAATCCAGTCCTTAGACCTTCAAATTTACTCAGCTGAATTTTGGTTTTTAACACTGGTATGCCCTTATATACATAGGAGAACACACAAATTTTGGCAGTGTCAAGTCCTATATTTGAACTTCACTTCCATTGTTACAAGTCATATGACCTGTAGAAGGCTAGTCTACCTAACAAAAAGCCATTAGTGTTCTGGAAAGTAAGTATTTTAAAATAAGATTAAGAACTTCTCTCACCTTTGTTTTAAAATGTTATTCCTTTTACACTGCATCAGTGATCTCACTGACATTATTTTGACTTCCATCTATAAGTTGCTCACTCCTAATAATTACCTTCCAAGAAATGTTTCCTCTTAAATTCCTTAAGTATGTATCAACTTCCCTGAGATTTCTACTTTTTTCTCCCCCCACCCCACCTTTTTTTTTTTTTTTTTTTGTAGCCTAGGCATTTCAATTTTAAGGTACTCAACCTGAACTCATCATCTTCCTCCTTTAACCTTTCTGTCCTCCAGGGTCCTACCAATGTAGGTATAGAACTGAGTCTCACTTGATCTGCATGGTCATTTTTACTCTCTTCTACTTTAGCTACAGGAGTCATTGTTCTTGACAACTCAACCTTGCTGTTCTCTTGCTTCAACACTTTAGTGATTTCCAGTTTTTTTACAAGTTTGAATTTACATTCCATAATACTATCGAAGACCTCTATGCAGTGAATCCTGTCTACCTTTCCAGTTTCAGTTCTCGCCACTTTGTGACTCACTTGTGAGTATTTACCCACTAAATACCTAAATGAGTTAGTATTTATTCAAAAACATAACGATAGTTCCCAATTCCTCTCCTTTTCCTCATGATGCTCTCTTCATTTATTCTTTTCCACCCTCTCCAATTAATACCATCTCTTAAGATCAGGTGTCCTGTTGAAAATAAAACTTTTCCAATTCTTGTTCCTCCCCTTCTCTGATTCATATACAATAAAAAACTCACTAACATTTTAATTGCTGCACTTCTAGTTTATTTTCATTATCTTTGCCTGTATCTACCTCCCCTTAATCCTCTGTGGTTCTTATCAGTTGACTCCTACTCACGTAAGAGACACTCAGTGTAGATATGAAAGATGAAGCAGTAAATAAATGACATCTGAGCTAAGCTTTAAAAAGATAGGCTAGGTAGTGACTTGTGCAAGTGGCAGAGAAGTTGATCCGGACAAAGGCATAACCTGAGCAGAAGCACAAAAGGACAAGCAGGGAGTACATCCAAATCAATGTGAAGCCACTCAAAATGAAAATGACCACGACAGCATGGTGCAGTGACTACTACTGACCTAGCTTTGTCCTCTCCGGGTACTTGAAATTGTCAGGAGAGCCTGTCCAATCCAGGTATCCTTCTTTACCTCAGCACTTTATAGACAACAAATGGATTTGCTGAGAATGACTGAATTCATACTTTATAATAAGTACCATATCAAGTCAACAAAAGTAGAATTCCATACATCACACAGTACCAAGAACAGAGTTCTGTATATTTCCAATTCCAGCTTGATCAGGAAGTGATGAGAGTTTTGTTCGTGACTATTAACACAGACAATCTGTCAATTTTCTGAGACAGCCGTCTGTGCCATGGGCTTCAGTGCTCTTAGAGCACAATGTCCTCACGCCGCACCATTCTGTGCTATGCGTTTCTATCCTCTCCTTGCACAATTTCTTCAGTTTCTGCTTTAAGGTCACCCTAAGTTCTGTGGAGGTTTTTTTTTTTTCCCCAACCAAAGTGACAATTAAGGTAGCTTTGTGCCTCTCTGTCATGCTCTACAAAATGTCTGGCCTGCATTACTTGGTTCTGTGGACTGACTTCTTTCTATTTGGGGGGACCTGAATTTTTCTGTCTCTAATCTTAGGACATTGTGTTCTCTAGCCATCTGTTTCTGGGTTCTGCCTACACAGCAGAGACAGAAAAAAAAAAAAAGTTTTATATTCTACTTCTTTTGTTGGAAAGAGCAACTTCCAGATTCACTGTGAACTAACAGCAGAACCCCCACTGCATGGGAATTGTGACTTTCAGGTAGAACACAGTGACATCCACACCTAAATCCACCAACTCAGTTACTATCTAATAGACAACTGTACACTCCTTTTCAGGAACCTCAACATGGGGAACATTTTGTGGTGGGAAAATAGAATTTATGAAGCTACTACATTTGCAAAGTCAGATGAGGTCAAAATCATGGAGAGTTTTTCATGAAGGCCTGTTATACGGTCTAAGTGACTAAAGGAATAAATAAAGGTAATATATCAATAATAGTTACATCAAAACCATGATATTCCTCACAATATAGAGTAAAACAGTTCTGTTTTTACTTGAATATTGAGAATCTTAAGTGAAATGCAGGTGTTGTCAGTATATAAATTAGTTTGGTCATAAACATATCATGTGCTCCACAATTCTAAATAGTTTTTTTTTTTTAATATTGGTTGGAATTTTCCATTAAAAGACGTGACCTGCTTTTCAAAGCAACAATAAAACTTTTTTTTTCCAGGTTGTTTTAATACTAAATTGCCCCTGAGCACCCATCCATTTATGCAAGAGTAGTATCTACCACAGCATTAACCCTGAAGGACAACCCTATCTGCCTCAAGTATAAAAACTGACCTCTATTTACCCTTGGAAATTAAAAATTCCTAGCAGAGTCTGTTATGTTCGATAACAATGTTACTTGGCAGAACAAATTAGTAATGTTCAATCAACATCAAAAAGGCACAGTGGAACTTATCAGACAAAGTTATTTTTGACACATTGAGAATGTGGTATACATTGAAACAAGAGATCCCTTTGAGTTTGTTTAAATTATGTTTGTTAAGATTTGATCTTTAGACAAATGTTCCAGCTGTAATTTAATTTTTGTGTATTTAATACTTAATTACCAGCTCTTAAAATATTTGGGCTATTATTGCACTTCATTTTTTTTCCTTTGGTATTACTGGGTTCTCCATGTTGTACAGGATATCTCTATTTCAAAGATGAGGGAATAGGACCGTCAGTTCTTTTAAAATGTGAAACATTTATATGCAAAAACATCAAATAAATTATCTATGTAAGAAGTGATTATTTTAAAACATCAAGTTCATAGCAATCTTGCTCACATAGGTTGATTTGTCACTAGGACTTCTTGTTTTGAAACAGTGGTAGTAGCTACTTTCTCACCAATATTTAAATTAATATATAGATTTAACCAGGCCATATTAAAAGCTCCTTCTTTTGTGCATGTGTATATAATTTTGTTACCTCAGGATTTCTCTCTCTCTCTCTCTCTCTCTCTCTATATATATATATATATATATATTTTAGTCCTGAAATTTTTATAGGCTTGTTATTACAGCATTTGCTCTCATTTACAATTCGGAAAATACGTAATACTAACAATTGTACCAAAATTTTAATATGAATTATTTTTCTGAGCTTTTAGTAGATCCTATGAGATGCCAACCAAATCTTCCCTTCAAGGCTAACACACACATCCCTCAAAAGCAAGGAGTTCTGACTTTTGGTGGTCACACATGACCTCTTCTTCAGGAAGAGCTCTCTGCAAAAGAGAGATTTCATTCAAGGTTGTGCATGCTCACTCTCCCCCGAGACAGCCAACAACCAGTAATACTACTGATGTCAAAGTGCAAATTTCAAAATCTCCTTGCCACAATTTGGAATCCCTCTAAAGGATTAGAGTTCCAGAACTTCACTGGGTTCTGAAGACACCTCTGCTGATACCATAGTACTTTTCTAGTTCTCATTCTGCCCACTTCTACTTCCCCAAATCTCTTGTAGGAATTATTGGTACTACCCTGTGTACTAACTACATGTAATGTCTATCTTGGAGTGTACTTTCTGAGGAAAATGACCATGAAATTGGTACTAGGAAATAGGTACTAAAATGATATTTTAGAACCATGCTATCCACTGTCTAGACACCATTCACCACTGGTGGTAGATGAGTCCAACGTAGACCCTAGCATGTGGTTTCTTTTCACTGGTGAACTGGGATAAATCAGTAGAAGGGAATATTTTGGTTATTATATTTTCTCAGACATTTAAGAACTTCAGTGAAATTTTAATTATTGACTGTAAAAAAAAAAAAAGGCTCTGGGTGAGTGCTTACTGATGCATTAGAGAAAAATATAAAAAGGTAGAGAGTGATTAATTCCTAATTCAAGGCAAAGTAGGAAACCCAGAAGACCTCCCTGGTAAAATACAACAAGTATCCTCTGTCCTGCATCCTGGATGTAGTAACTGCTGAGGATCAAACCCAAAACTTAGAAAGGTAGTAAAGGCTCTCAAGAATATTGAATCCTCAACTCCAATAACCCCTAAGTCTCCATGCCAAGGTCAGATCCACTCTTGGGAAGGACTGAGAATCTACGATTAAGTTTGGAAAGTCTATGTCTATGAGCTAAAATATATTGAATTCCCACATGCTCCAGAACTCTCTAGTCCTGAAAAGTGTCTCACTGCTCTTTGTTAGTGGCTGGTGTTCCTTCCACTCACTTCAACATAAAGTTAGAATTTACTGACATTGTTAAACTCTCCATAATTCACTATTTAAAATCCTAGCAGGGACCCAAAGAGGCAGGTGCTAACCTTCTACTAAGATGACTCTAGAATCATGGAAAAAGTAATACCCTGTGCTGAGTAAGGTAAAAATGATAAAAATGCCATGAAAGAAGAATTCACAGAAGTCTAAGAGAAGTGGCCATACTACATAAAAATATAGAAAATTTTGAAAACCCAACAAATGACTATGTTCCACAGAGAGGACCTGGAGGACCCTCTGTTTACCAAAGTCTAAGAAGTCTGATAGTGATAAGGGCACTGGCATTATTAAAAAGCTCAGTGTTAGCTGTCCCCTGTAGGGCAAGGATAACAGTACGGTCTGCTGTTACTAAAATGGTTTCCCTGATAGCAATAGGAAGGACGTAATCCCAAGATAATAGAGGCCATATGGTACGACTGAACCATTAGAGACAAAATCGGAACAATTATCCCAATGAGCAGCAAGGCTGGACTGAAAGCAAAAGTGGACTCATAGAAAGCCATAGACATGGTTAACAGAACACGGTAACCCTAGGGAAAAGATAGGGTATTAATGACCACAAATCAAAATCAGGTTGGATGAGGAGGAGGCTAGATGGCTGCCCTAATAAAACTCACCATCTCTTGCAGAATATCCAGAACCCCTTCATTATAGGACAGACCAGGTTCCCAGGAAGGACACGGTCTCACTCCAGAAAGAAAATAATAAAATTTCCTCTAACACTTTACTAAAAATATGTATGTCTATTTACTAAATTAATTTCACATTGAGGAAAGGAAATGGGCATATTTTTTATAATGCATGCACGCTGTGTCTGAGTTGATATTTCTACCCAGAAAACTCAAGCATCAACATGTCCACTCCCTATGGCCACCTCTGTTAGAATAAGGAAATGTGGAAGCCAGGCAGTTATCTCTGGCCTGGAGTAGGGCTGGCTTCAGTGTGTCTACTGGCTCCACTCCTCTATCTTACAGTAAATTTTTTGGTTCCCAAAAGTATCACTGGAATTGCTCCATAGTACAGTTGTCAAAAATGCCACCCTGGTTCTGTGCCTTCTGAGGCTGAGCTTTTGTGGTAGGGAAAGCGGTATATGGAAGCCTCTGAAACTAACCCCACCCTCAGCCAAGATATTAAGCAGCTCTATTGTATCTCAAGGAGAATTGTCTTCATATTTAAAAGACAAAGGGTTGACAGTCCCCATCATATCCCCATTTACTTTTCCACGCAGGCCCTTGTGCAAGCCAGGCAGATCCTGAAGAATAGCAATGGACTACTGCAAACTCAACCAAGTATTAGCCCCAGTTGCAGCTTCAGGGCCTAAGTGCTGTTTTTTACTAGAAAAGATCAATCGACATGAGGTAAACCACCATTAATTTCAATGCTCTTTCCCCTCATATGTATCAAGAAGCAATTTACATGTACATGGGAATAACTTTAGTATACACTTCCAGTTTTCCTCTGGGGATAGGTTTGGTCTCCAGTACTCAGTAGCTATTATCTGAAGCAATACATATCATTTATATCATCTTCAGAATATTACATTAATGCAGCCAGTAATGACAACATATTAACCAAATCCAATTACTAGTTCAATTTGGCTAATCAAACAAAATGCCAATATGTTAACCAAACCAATAAACACGTTTATGCTAAATATGTTTCAGAAGGTCCACTAGAAAATTTTTGTCAGCAAATTTTTCTATGTCCTATGGTCTGGGGCATGCCAGGATATATCCTTCATGAATGACTAATTGTTTTATTGCATCTGCTACCACCAAGACAACATGAAAATACTAAGCTGGACTATCTAGGATCTACAGGTGGATGTCCAGACTTGTAAAGGTATTAGCTCAGTATTCCCATTATTACATAAAAGCTGCCTGCTTTTAGTGAGACCAAGAAAATAATAGAACTGGACAGTAGGGCTCGTGTTCAGTCCAAGCATCCCTGACTCGGGCTACATGATCTGACAGACCCTATAGTGTGACAGGTATTTATGGTGGACAGAATATGCCATCTGGAGAATTCACCAGCAGGAGAATTCCAACATGGAGGAAACAAAGGCCAACCTTGGACTGTGGATGCAGAAGCCTCAGTATGTGAATTTGAGAGGAAAAAAGTAACTGCTACTGCAGGCCACCAGTGCGAGTAGCCAAGTCAGGCATTGGGGAAATCCTTGCAATGGTCAGAGCTTTGGAGACTATAGACTGTCTGTTTTGTGTGGATAAAAACATGGCCTGAAAGAAGATTATTTACAGTCTCCCAGGTAGCAGTAAATGACTTGGCTATTGGGTCATGGATATGAAAAAAAAATAGATGAGAAAACTAGAAGGTCTGAGAAGAATGTATGTCGATGGATCTATGTATTGTATGTCCATGGCCACTCAAGAGAATTTACCACAGAAATGGCACTAATAGGTTATTATTACAAAATGACTATGCTACTTGGTTATCAGCCTGCCTCTATCATTGCGTATTCCAGTGTTCAGTATTCGAACAGAGTAAGTATCTTTGACAGAAGGGATGTAAACTATACACAGACTCAATAGCATAGGTTCTCATTCACTGTGTCTGATTTAGATACTACCAAGTATCCAAATTTTCAGCAACAGAGATTAAATCTCAGGTGGCCTGATAGTAAATGAGTATCAGCTGGTCATCCAAGGGGAAAAACTCTTATTTCTGTGATATATATATATATATATATATCACAATGAGCACTACTATTCAAATAAGCACTACTATTTTAAGGTTAACAGGATGTTGATCCTCTGAATGATCCCATATAACATATTGAATATAAGAGAGTTCCCCCAGCAGATACTGGGGCTATGGCAAAAGGTTCATGGGATATAATGTTTCTATCATATACCATGCCATACAGAAGCTGTTGATAGATTAAATGGACTTTTGAAGGTACAACTCCCTGCTTAGAATTAGGATATTGCATGAGAGGCACTGTCTTCTAGGAGTCAGAACATACCCCAAGTGAATGTCACTTGTTTCTCTAATAGGTTGACTACATGGAACCAAGAAGGTAGATATAGAAGAGACCATGGTTTTTCTAAGAGCCCTGATGTCATGTTTGGCAAATTAGTGCTTCTGGATCCCGAAATTCTAAGTTTTACATTTCTACAGGACTTACTCTCACATCACTTCTATCAGGGGACTCGGCAAGACCGCAGGGGACTGCAAGCTCTCATTCCCCAGCTGAAGAGACTATTATCCACTGAGAGCTAAAAACTCAATTGCCCTCTGAGAAACGTTGCTGCTTAACCCAAGTTCATTACTGTCTTCTGAGGGACAGATTGTACCACATGTTCTGAACACGTCAGCTCAACTTGGGATACCTCTGAAGGGTCATCTCAGATCCAAGTTCCATGTGCCTCAGGTGAAGCTTTGCTGAACTGCATTACAGTTCAAGTCCTCCACCTGCCCCATTCTGGTTCCCTCCCTTCCATTCCTTCCTCACAGATAGTGGTCCCAAAGAGCACTTCTTGTCAAACCACTTGCCTGACAATCTCCATCTACCTCCAGGGAAACACCAACTATGCCAGACACCATTGATCTCAATCTCCTTTTTCAAAACATTACCCTTTATTTTTCTGGCCATTTTTCAAAACATTACCCTTTATTTTTCTGGCCATTTTATACCATAGTTCTAAGATTTCTAGTTTTCTATTTTTGCTTACTCTTACATTTAAAAAAATACTGGAAGCAGTGTTCATGCAAACTGGTACTCAATTTTCAGAGCACTTTATAGGTGCTGTAAGTAACCATTTATGAGGAGCAAATACCCAACTGTGAAAAAAATCACCCCTCACCTACCACTTCACCGTAGAACACAGCCTAACTTCTCCCATCTTTGCTACAAAAAGAAAAGAACCCCAACACTACTGATCGATTTAAAACAAAACCACACACCTTTTAGCCAAGTGCTACATGTTATCCCTTGGTCTATAATTGCCCCACTATAAATAGCAGTTTCTTTTCTCCTTTTAAAATTGCTCCAAGGATTCATGTACACCTCCTCCTATGATTTTGACAAATGTATAGTGGGTGAGGCCCTCCTCCCTTTCCAGCTGTGATAAAGGCTTTGTGAATTACAAAGACTATTTGGCTTTTTAATACATCATTAAATCTCTATGCACTTTTAGGACTTTCTGAATAATATACTCACTTTTTTAATCCATTCAGGGTATAAGTAGTTTTAACATAAATAGGGTGTCCACATAAAGCTTCTTTCTAGGCCATTGTATAGGTGAGATAAACAGTACTTCTAGGTAATACTTCATCTTCATTTCACAAAGCTTTTCTTCAAGAGAGGAAAAGAAAGAGCCTGAGAACAGGGGAGGGGCAGAGAGAAAGGGAGAGAGAGAACCCCAGGCTCCATGCTGTCGGTGCAGAGCTCAATACAGGGATCTATCCCAGGACCTTTGAGATCCTAACCTGAGCCATGATCAAGATTCCAACAATTAATTGCTTAACTGACTGAGCCACCCAGGTGTTCCTCTTCATTTTCTTTCTTAAAGTCACCAAGCGCCATCAGAATACACAGAGCTCAGGTACCGCTTTTGTTTTCCCTTCCTTTTTTCTCCCTATTTTCAAAAAGATGGCTTCCAAAGAAAAAAGTAATGTTCTGATTGGCTTCCAAACCATGTATTTTAAAGGAGATGGGCAAACTAGGAATGAGTAACAAGACAAATGTATCTCTGTATCTATTGAAGTCTATGATAAGATATTATAGTCACAGAATCCAAGGCGTTTTTGACAAACATCAGTATGTGATTTATGAGCAAAACATTAGATCAAGCCATCGATTACACTGCAAATGGTACAGTACAATGTCAATATCTTAAACCAATCTCTATCCCTTTACCTCACCTTGCCCCCCTTACCCTTACCATCCCTTAGTTCTAATGATCAGCAAATTTTAAAGTCTATTATAGAATTCATTTCTCACTTTTTCTCTAATATTTCATGTATTATTCCCACAACAAATGTAATTGCTGTATCATTTTAAAAAAAGATATAAAAATAGTTTTTCTGTTGAACAGGTTAATTATATTATAGTTGGCTTTAAGATAAATATCTACATTCAGCACATACAGGATTTAAGAGAGGCAACATTCCTTAAACTTTTAGAAAATTATGTTTATAATGTACAACATGGCATCCAATGAAATATACCATTTAATGTGTATTTAGTGAAGTTACATTTAGGAAACTGTCAATACTTTACTACCTGTTTGTCTTTCTGTTTCTCTTCTTTCTTCCAGCCTCTAAGTGTATTGTTTCTTTTAGAACCCGAAACATAGCAACACACAATTTCCACAGAAGGCTTTTAATAGGAAATCAATGAGTGATTGAATTTCTAACTGTTTGAATTTAAAATAAGTTATAGCAATAAATCTACATCAGCAGAAAAGCAAATCTATTTCCAAAATTAGATCAAAAAACCACACCACGTTTATTACGGGACTTCAGTGAAAATTAAAACATTTAAGAGGGGCACAGAGTAATGCATAAACGTAAATACCATTTTAACTATGGGAGGATCCTTAGTGACTACCAGATCTTTCAACAGGAGGAGCATGAAGAGCTGATTTTTACTTTTGCTCTTATTGCAAACTCAAATAAAATAATTACCTCATATTAAGAGTATAGAATCCTCATATTTCAAATAAAAAATCAAACGGGTGTTGAGAAATAGTAATTCAGAATAGATAGTCCCAAACATGAAGGCTGGCCATCTCACAGAATTCATTGTCTATTCCCCTAGAATTCACCGTCCACAGTCCCAGGAATTTGTAGCAGACTGAGTAGAGTTAGTAAAGCAATAAATGAACAGGCCTGCAGCATTTCAAAGTGAAAGCTACCAGTTACACCAAAGTGAGCACTATAATAGCTTTCTTATAGTGCATGACAGCGGGAAGTATCTTTTACTCAAGAATCAGTATGGTCGACTAGGAATTTAAAATCCCGTTTATGGTGTTGCGAGATTAAGAAATTCAACTAGACTTCATTCAGTTCACTACGTGAGCAAATCATCTCTCCTCTGTGTGCTCTGATTAGCTTTTTTCATCAATTGGGGATAACCTCATCTTGCCTTGCATCTCAATAGCCAACATGAGGTTTAATTGAAACATTTAGGGGGGAAATAACTACAAATAATAATAAAATACTCTTCTTATCCTAAAGTGAATTAGGTCTTTATACATTATGAAGTTACTTGCGGCTGTATTTTCAATCTACCACAAGTGAATCAAACCTCAGGTTTTGCTAACACAGGTTTCTTTTTTCTTCCTGCCTTGTCCTTACTGTTTACCAAATGAGAATTCTGAGTAATTTGAGACACTTTTAACTAAAGTCAGACTCTTCAGCCTTACACAATTTATCTCCTTTCTCCAAACCTTACTAAGAAGAAAGACTCCAAGGGGCGCTTGGGTGACTCAGTTGGTTAAACGTCCGACTTAGGCTCAGGTCACGATCTTGTGGTCCGTGAGTTGGAGCCCTGCGTCGAGATCTGTGCTGACAGCTCAGAGACTGGAGCCTGCTTCAGACTCTGTGTCTCCCTCTCTCTCTGCCCCTCCCCTGCTCACAGTGTTTCTCTATCTTTTTTTTTTTTAAATTAAAAAAAAACTTTAAAGAACAAATACACCAAAGCACTACTTATAACTTACAAAAACAATGCATACGTTTACCCAGTAGACCCTTAATAATTGTCCATCCTCAACCCCTACTTTCCGACTTTGGTGAAACAAAGATGCACAGGATATCATTTCCACAGGTTAAGATCTCACAACCCCTAGCCTAGAGATTCCAAAGATATGTGACTTTGCAGGACTCCTGGGTTACCAGGAGTAATAATAAGTTACCAACTTATTACTTGGAGCCACTCACTCTGGTAGACATCAGGGCTAATTACAGACCTAGGACTGTATTTTATGAGGAAGCTCCAGGCTTCTTGTGAAAGCACTTTGTCCCCAAATCACAATCCCTTGAGCTTTGCCTTTTTCCCATCACATTCTTTTAGCTTCTGCACACTAACATTCCCTACAGTCTAATTTCATAGTGCGATATTGAAGAGCTCAGACTTCCTGGGCATACTATGCATATTCAAATCTTATTTCTTTTATTTACTAGTTTGGCAAATATGGAAGAATTCTAGGCCTCATTTTCTCCCTCTTTAAATTATGGGTACAGAGTACCTGGAGACAAATTAATAGACATGAGGCACGTAGAATGGTACCTGGCACATAGTCAGGACTCAATGCCAAATTTCCTCATCCTTGTCATTACTGTGTGCCATGGATAAACTTAGAGGGGACTGGTAGCAAACTGCTTAATACTGAAGAGCCTATTCCCAAAAGGCAAGTGACCCAATCATTTTGAATATTCCATCAAAACTCTCTCTGTATTGAAGAAAACTAAAAATGACTAACCTGATATTGAACAACAGACCTTCATCATCTTTTTTCCTAGGACACAACCAAATTTGATCTTCTAGTAAAGAGACACAGGATCTAGAGCTCTTTTCTGAATCTAAGGATTCTTGCGGCCACCCGAAGATTAGGACCTGTAATAGAAATACCTTTGCATATTAACAGTCATCCTTGATCCATCCCTTAGAAACTGAACTTTCTTTATCTAATCAGTCATAGATCCCACTGGACTTTATTTTTGAGGTATCTCTGGATTTCATCTCTATCTTTCCATTCCCATTTCCAGTTATCATTATCCCTGACCTGAACTACAGGAAATGATGCAATGGCCACTCTTACCAGCTATTAATCTATTCTGCCTACAGCCCCAAGAATATCTGTTGAAAACACAAATATGAGTACATTTCTTTTCTGTCTTAGAAAAGAAGCTTTGGGGGGAATAAAGATTCTGATGGTCACTGTAATGAAATATCATTATAAACTGCAAGGCCCTCCAGGATCTGTAGATCAAATACAACTTGGCCAGTGAACATCTTCCCCACATTTCTCTCCTACATTGCACTTTTCAAATCCTCCAGGCAACTGTACTCTCTTTCCTTCCCTAATTGCTAGTCCCTCTGCCTGAAAAGCTCTGTAACACCCAGTCAATATCCTTTTGACCTGCTAAAGCCTATTCAACCCTCAACTGTCTACTCTACATCCCTTTCTCAAAAGGGAACAGTCGAGGTCATATCATCTTTTAGAAATCATACTTTTCCTTACTGATTGTTAACACTAACATAATTCCATTATTAAGTATACAATTTATTAACACGTTTACCCCAGCTTCATCTAAGTTCAACCAGAAGAGGGACTTCATACTTTTATTCACAGTTAATTCCCATTGACATTCAGTATTTTTCTTTGATGTACAAATAGGTAATTCATAACTGTATTAAAACTTGGCAGAGTGATCGCAGACCAATTAATATTTCAGAGAGCTTAGATTTACTGAAATCTAAATTCTTGATTCTCAATTCCACATTTAATTTCAGAACAAGAAAAAACCACCCCCACTTCCTAATGTTGCACTGCTCCTTCATTAATAGCAAATTCAGGTCTCAGTTCTGGAGGTTTGCCCAGCTCTCACAATAGACCAATGATTAGTACTTTATTCATATGCTAAAGAAATGAACATCATATTTCTTACACACACACACACACACACACACACACAAAATGAAAAGTTACCTCCATCAGTGAAAGCTTTCATTTTGCTTGCAATCAAAGGGGCAAATAGTAATAGCAAATCTAAGGCCTCAACAAACAAAGGAGGAGAAATTAAAAACTAGCCTTAGCTTTTCCAAAAAATGGGGGGGGGGGGGAATTCAACTCTTAAGAGAAATTCAGACAGTATTTCTGACTTTATAGGACAGTGTATCCAAACACTGAAATAATGCATTTCCTTTATGTTTTCCTTTCCATTTCCCTGTGACTTTACATCTTGCAGGGTGAGGCTTCTGCAAGAAAGTATAAGAATTTTTATCTCCACCCTCCTACAATTTTTAATGACTACGAAAAGTTAATATACCTCTTCTATTTAAATTCTCAAAACCATTAATGCTTTTATACTAAATATATTTTTCTTCTCTATTTCAGGAACAATACTTTGTCTATTTTCTAGTTATTATGGCCCATCTTTTTCAGCTTTTTTTTGAAAGGTCTTCCTTTTCCAAGAGTTTACTTAAATGTTTCTAGTCTGACTTGGCAATCTTGGTAGACTGTTTTTGTTCACCAAGAGTTTGCTTTCCTTCCCTAGGAGAGAATCTCATTTCCTCACTCCTCAGAAGTCAGAACTTGTGATTTGTTTTGATCATGAGCACAAGTTTTGTGTATTACAGGCAGAAGTTTTAAGACCCCATTCATACTTTATCACATCCTCTGTTCCCTCTCCATAGTGATAAACAATATTCTGTTCTGAAGTTGTTTAGGAAGGCTGTGTTCTAGAGAATAGAAAAGAGTTAAAGTCCACTCAGAAATGATAGAGAGCACCTAAGAGAAGTCAGACTTTGTTATTGTAAATCATTCAGGTTTGAGGAGGATGTTTTTGTAGGATAATTATATCTCCCTGATTGATAGAGCTATCTTCATCTCTCACTCAATTCCTGCCCTCTGGCTCTGTGGTCATAGCTTTAGTATCATGTATATACTAATTATTCTCCCCCCTACCAAATCTTCAGCTCTACCAGGAAAATCGCCTCATCATACTATGTGTATTTTACATGCCTCTCAACAATTTTATCTGGATGCCATTCAGACAGTTTATAATAATGACCCAAATCAATTCATCATCTTTCTTTTAAAAGTTACTATTTCCCATCACTCTATTATCAGTCACCTATGACAATCTTCCTGAACTGTTGTCTCTTTTAACCTCACCCCATATCCAACTGATGGTCAAGTTTTGTCAATTCTGTAACCCAAGTAGCTATTAAACTCTTCCATTCTCTTCATCTCATTGTCAAAGTTCTAGTTTAGAATCTCACCATTCATATCCTAGAACTCAAAAATAACTTACCAAGTTGTGTCTACTTCTCATCTTGCACAATCTCCACTTATTTTCCCAATTTTCAACAGCATGATCTTTGTAAAATTCAAATGTGCTTTCATCACTTCACTGCTTGGAATCCACCAATGGCCCCCCAAGACTCCGCACAACAGCTGAACTTTCAGTATAGCATTTGAGATCCTCAGGACCTTACTCTAACCCTCATAATTAGTTTTACCAACAGATACAACCCCACATTCATCCTCGAATTTGAGTGACTTCTTCTGATGGCATCATGTTCTCTAAAACCTCTGCTCCCTTTCATAGGTTTTTTGTTTGTTTGTTTGTTTTTAATCAATGGTGCTTTGCTTCCTACAAATGACTGGTTAACTCTCCTCATCAATGTGAATCTAAATCTTAACACTGGACATCACCACAACAGTAAGCAGATGTAAATGAGTACCTCTGGAACATGGGCAATTTGGGTGTATCATTTGGAAACAAACAAACAAAAAAACCCTATTAGACTTAGCTGTTACATAGGATGCTAAATACAGCAGGCAGTTTGCAGTACGTTAACAATTAAATGCAAGGCGGTACTTGGAGACACTAAGTGCAAACAGTTTTCTGACTAGTATGGATCAGTCAGGATGGAAAAACATAGTGAAATCGCTTCAGTAGACATAATAGGAAGAAAGGGTTTTCTCAGAATAGGTTATCAGCATGAAATTTGGAGACCAATTAGTTAGAGCTGTGAGAGGGGATTAGAGTCATTAGAATTCT